CCCCCCCCCCCCCCCCCCCCCCCAGCCATCTCTCCGACCCTCTCCTTGGACTCCTTTGATGCTCACTGTTCGTGTAATTCAGTCTCTCCTCTCTCTGAAGCTGTAACAAGTCAGGGCAGTGTATGAAACAGGTGTCGCTGAGGGCTCTGCACAGCAGTCTACAGTAGCACACCACAGCCTATACCCTGAAACCAAGAGCAGTTATTCTGAGCTCCAGGGAAGGCTGATGTGCAGGGCTCCAGGCAGATGCCAGCATGCCTCTCCCCCATCCTGCCCCTCCCTTGCCAAGTTGCCTCCCCATCTTGCCCCTCTTCATCGTATTGCTCTTCCTCAGTCTCCCCAGCTCTGAGCCCCAGAGTGCCTTCCCTGGGAGAGTCCTTAGACTAGCTCTTACTCCATCCTACTCTGCCTTGGCTGGAGGGATAGCTTTCCGCAGCCTACACATCTCATTAAGAGGTATTGCTAAATAAAAACAACAAAAAAAAAAACCTCTGGGATCCCGGAAAAGGAACTCCACCCCAGTGTGTGTGTTTGTGTTTTCTTCTCCCTGGTCCATAATTACACAGGCTGCTGAGCACACTGGCCCTGAGAGAAAGCATTCCACATGGAAACTGTAGATTCTCCCCTTGTTGGTACTTGCCCCTGGCAGCTCATCTCTGCTTTGCTATACCAGTGTGACCTGTCAGCATCAGCTGGGAGCCATCACTAGATACAGAAGCTGGGACCGGCCCTGGACCACTACATCTTTACAATCCCCCAGGCAAATCAGTTCCTAAAAGCCTCCAGCGCCTGTCCTGACCTCCCTAAATCTATTTCCTAGTTCCAAAATGGAGATACTACCTCACTGGGAGGCTGTGAAAACAAGAGATGATGTATATGAACAGCAAGGATAGCATCTGGTAGGAAGAGCCTTCCAGAAAGGCTAGCTAATATTATTATTAGCTATTGAGCTGTAATGGCTCTCTGACTGCCTTAGGGATTGTTATTCCACTCCAAACAGAATCTCTCAGGGAGCTGGGCCCTTCTAGGTGCTGTGATTGCTAGGTGCTAGGGCTGGAAGTGGGGGGTGAGCAGGCCCTGAGGTTGGAGGATTGCAAAATGGGGGAAGGGAGGGAGCGGTCTGGTATAGACTTTGGAAACTCAGGTCTGCATGCCCAGAACTTGCTATGAAAGATACATAGTCAGTGGATCAAGGCAGTGTGTCTTCTCGGAGTGGCATGTTTACTCATGGCAAATAATTGAAAACATCATCTGCATGTTAAAATGAATACGGAGCTGGTATGTGTCGTGTGGTTCTGTTTATCCCCCGTTCCGGAACAGGGAAAGCTGAAGGAGGGTGATGGGAATCAGAATGGTGGTTGTTAGCGGCAGGGTGAGGGGATTAGCTAGGCAGAGCCGCTGTGAGCTTCTTTCCAAGGGGTGGGAATAGTCTTGACGAGGGTGGTGGTGCTGATTGTCAAAGCCTGGTGAACTGTACACCACATGTATTAGTCAGACATAATTCATTTTTAAGGCATTTGAAAAAAGAAGTTGTAAACAGAAGGGAAGACCACAAACTTTCCTCCAGTTATACAGATCAGGAAGTAACCAGACACCTGATAGTGACGGCCCCCTCTGCACCAAGCCCCGCCCTCAGCCGGTCTTCTCTGACGTCGCAGCAGAGGAGAAAATGCCCGAGCAGGTTGAGACAGACTGTGGAATTGGGTCAGGGTGGAACTCCTAGAGGCACAACAGTTAAGCTACCTGGCTCTGGCCCTACAGGGCAGCACACGCCTCAGTCTCTTTTCTCGGCACCTCTGTGTCCCTGTAGCTGCTGCCACTGTTCCCCGGAGGGCTAACAGCCCACACTGGCTTGTGCAGGCGAGTGCACATCTTCAGCTCCCTATAGGTGGGCGCCTCAGGCAGGGCGATGACCTCTTGGGGTGCAATCCCTTCTATCCTCTCTGGGCTCATGTGCCGTTGTCAACTCGTCCCGCTGGGCTGCCTTCCAAGCATCTCGTTACGGAAGGCAGCAGTGCTGTGCTCCCCGCCACCCCTTCCCTTTTATCTAGGCTGTCCCTATCTCCTCGGACACCCTAGGGAGCCACGCTTCGATAAGGAAGTCTAGAAGCCAGTCAGGTCAGACCTTTCTTCCTGCTGGACCCTGTGGGACCACGTCCTGACAAAATGCAAATGGTCTCTTTAGCGACCCCATCCCCCACCCCCACAGTGTCTTGTTATGCTAATCAGCACAGCCAAACCCAGGATGGTCTTGAATTTACAGCAAGTCTCCTGCCTCCGCCTTGCAAGCTTGGGAGATTACAGGCATGAACTATCACCCCAGGCTTCCTTTAAATCTTTGTTTCCTGGGAGTTGGACAGATGGCTAAGTGGTTAAGAGTTTTAGCTGCTCTTCCAGAGGACCCAGGACAATTGGTTTCAATTCCCAACGCTTATGATGACTCCCAATTGTCTGTAACTTCAGCTCTAGAGAATCCAACACCCTCTTCTGACTTCCACAGATACCACACATGCACGTGTACAGATATACGTGCAGGCAAAATGCCCATACATATAAAATAATATTAATAATAAATTTTAAAAATTAATTAGATCTTTGTTTCCTTCCTCAAGATTAGCTCTCCTAGAACAATCAGCAGCCCTGTGTGTGTGTGTGTACATGTATGTGTGTGGACCCGTGCGTGGGCATATGTGGACCTGTGTGTATATGTGCATGGCCCATGTACATGTGTGTATGTGTGTCTGTGTGTGTGTGTCTGTGTGTGTATGAGAAAGAGAGAGAGAGAGAGAAAGAGAGGGAGAGAGAGAGAGAGAGAGAGAGAGAGAGAGAGAGAGAGAGAGAGAGAGAGAGGAAGGAAGGAGGGAGGAAGAGTATGTGTGTTCTTTCAGGGGAAATGCCATATCCACTATCAGGGGAAAAACCCCAGAGAGGGCTGGTTATTCGAACAGAGAGCCACACAGCTTCTCCCCCACCCCTACTCTCTCTGGCACAGGCACAAAAAGAACTAGTGATTATTGGCAGAGCTGTCACTAGAACACGGGTCTCCCATCTTCCGAGCCCGTTCTGGTGTGTGACCATGGCTGCAATTCTTCCTCCAGGAGCCAACTTGCTCTGCCCACAACTCCACTTCACGGATCTGGCAAGCCACTTAATGTCACCACCACTCAGCTCCTTGACAGTAATTGGAGACAATAATAGTTACCTTACTTCATAGGGATATTCAGCTCTCAATTAGTAAAAGCTTCTAAAGTACTCGGGTCCCATCATTAGCCGTAATGGAGTACTTCTGCCTGTGTTGACCCATCTGTTGGCTCTTGGTGGGAAATGCTCTTCCAAGGAAAAATTGAAAAGAGAAATCCGAAGGACCTAGAAAAAGAGGAACCGAGCCCAGTCTGCTCAGGTGTTATAAAACCCTTGGTGTTCTTAACCCGATCACTTGTTGGTAAGACAAAATGTCCAACAGAAGCAGTTTAGAGGAAGAGGATGTATTTTGGTTTATGGTTTCAGAAGGTGTGGTCCATGGTTGCCTGGTCCCATGTCATTGGGTAGAATGATGGCCAAGCTTAGCTTATGAGAGTTGTCAGAACCCAGGACCAGGCTCTGACCCTAACTGTGGCAGTAGTGGGCACATGTGGCAGGAGACAGTGACAGGGAAGTTTGCACTTTTGGGTTCTGGAGAGCGATGGGGGTGGGGCAGCAACAGCTCCTCAGGTTGGAAACCTGGGGTGTTGTTTAGTTGGTAGAATGCTTACCTAGTGTGCAGAAAACCCCTGGGTTCTAACCCTAGCCTGGCCTAAACTGGTGTGATAGCAAACACCTCTCTATCTTAGCACCTCAAGTAGAGGCAGGAGGAACAGAAATTTGGGATCCTTCTCAACTATGTAACAATTTCAAAAATAGAACCTCCCCCTTAGGAAAAGAACTCACCGGGCAGGCAGTCAGCTGCTCACTCAAAGAGGAGTTTCTCTGCGTGCTACAAAAAAGAGAAAGTTGAAGATGATGGAGGAGAGATGCTTCAAGGTTCTCTCCTTTGGGGATGGGCTATAGCTCTGTTGATAAAGTTCTTGCCACACAAATACAGGGCCTGAGTTCAGATCCCCATGCACCCATGTCAAAGGCTGGGCACAGCAGCAATGACTTGCAATTCTAGTGCTGTGCACAGGAAACAGGAGGACCCTGGGCCGTGCTAGCCAGCCAGTCCAGCTGAGTCAGTAAGCACAAAGCTTCAGTGAAAGACTGTCTCCAAAAGTAAGATGGGGATTGCTTGACGAAGACACCCAGTATTGACCGCTGGCCTCCATCAGCACATTTGCGTGCACACAAACACACACATTTCTCTGATCTACGGATTTCCAGAATGTTGCAAGTTGCATGTTCTTTGAAAATCTGTTTAGTAGATTAGGATATCCTAAGAAGAAAGGAACTCTCAACAGATAGGGTTTACACTCTGGCTGCTGCCTGTGGGAGACAGGTTGCTTAAAGTCCTGACTGAACAGTCCTGTGGGGTTCCAGAGAACCAGAGGCCCTGGGAAAGAGCGCAGCAAAGCCCTTCCACCTGTCAAAATTAGACCAGAAAATACGAAAAGCAGACAGCTGAGCCGGGCAAGGTAGCAAAACTCAGTAAGATGAACATGTTATTGGGAGTTGCAGCCCATATGTGAGAGGCCCAGCAATGGCTGTGGTAACTCAAGGCTAGCAGTATTAGAAGTAGGTTTATAGTCAGGTGGTGGTAGCACACGCCTTTAACGCCAGTCTCAGGAGGCAGAGGCAGACAGATCTGTGGGAGTTTGGACCAGCCTGGTCTACAGAGCAAGTTCGAAGACAGTCAGGGCTAAACATAGAAACTGTCTCAACACACACACACACACACACACACACACACACACACACACAAAATAGTGGGTTCATGGGAAAGGTTCCAAATACTGAAGACTGTCCCCTGCTGCCTTTGGCAATTATTAGCCTTGGTGTAATTTGTGTGTGTGTTTGATTGTTTTTATTGGGGAGGTTGTGGTTTGGGGTCAGTTTTTGAGACGGAATACTATATAGATAAGATTAGGCTCTAGTTCACTTTGTAGCTGAGGATGACCTTGATCCTGTCTCTGCCTCCTGAGGACTGGGGTTACAGCTGTGTACTGCCACACCCAGTGTATGTGGTGCTTGGGACCAAATCAATGGTAGGCAAGTACTCTACCAAATGAGCTACATTCCCATCCATGGTTTATTTTAAGCTATTAAAAAGATAGACTTTACTTTTGCAGAACAGCTGTTGGACAAAAAAATACAGAGTACATGCACATGTATGCAAACACACACACACACACAGAGTTAATGCAAAAAAACACAGCTCTTACCTTAAAGGGAATAAGAGAAAGTTTGTTCTGGAACCATTTTGAGTGACCATGGCCTGGGAACATAGACTTGAGTTGCCCCAAATTCCATGTACCAACCTGGAAGCGGCGGACCAAAGGTGAGCATGTAGGGTTGAAAGACCTGGATAACTCCAGGTTCCTCCCCCCCCCCCCCCCCCAGCAGCAAGAAAATAGCCAAAAAATCCAAGCAGGAAGAGAAGAATCAAAAATCTAGGATTAGCCCGTTAGTGACTGTGTTTCAGGAACTAGCTGAAGATAAAGTTAGGTTGTAATCTTGAGAATAATCTTGAGAAACAGGGAGTTTCCCCCTTGTGATTGACTTTGTAATGTGTTTTAAGAACTAGCTGATTATGACCTTGCGAGTGGTCCTGAGAGGCAGGACCCCCTTGTAATCTTCACTGGTATTTTCGGAATTCTCTGTGACACACTCCCTGCCAATTCCGGATCACTAGGCTGTGGTTTCTTCCCTTAAAAATCGATTCTCCCGGTCACTCGGCGTCTAACTCTTCCCCCTGCGTGGGTTATGAGTCTCAGCCCCAGTGCACTGGTTCCCGTCTCATCTCATCATTAAAGCCTCGTGTGATTGCAACAAGGATGTTATCTCTCATGAGTTACTGGGGGGTCCTGTTATCCCGAGACTTGAGTGAGAGTCTCCCCAGCATTGGGGGTCTTTCAGGGTCATGAACTGGAGTTCTGGAAAGAGGCGGTGTTGTAGCAAAATGATAATGATGGACAGAGGCAACCGTAATGGAGCAAGATGATGAAGAGAGGAGGTGCTAGTGACGAACAGAAGTGGTGACAGTGACAGAGAAAAGATGGTGGCGGTCAGAAGTAACAGTGACAGAGAGATGGTGTTGATGGAGAAAGACAACAGTGCCAAAGAGAGAGAATTGTGATCCAAAGTATCGATGATGACGGTCAGAGGGGACGTTGATGGAGAGAGATGATGTTGACAGAGAAAAATGGTGGAGAGGGACGCAGCGATGGGAAGAGTACGTGGATGGAGCATAGTGCCCCGCACTCCCCTGCTGGGCACCCTCTGTATACTTCCTCTTTGTCCTTAGCGCTGTCTCTCTCCCTCAGTGCCTTCCCATCTCTCTCCCGGCTCTCCTAAGATGGCTACTCCTTCCCAAAGTCTTGAAGCCGGTGTCTGCTTCAAGGCAGCCCTGTACACCCCACCTGGGCAGTCCTGTCGGCTGGCCTCTCCCTTGCTCCTCTGAACATTCTCCTTCCTGTCTGCTTACTGCCAGCATCGACCCCATTCTGGACCCAGCACAAGTTTCTTAAGGCCAGGCTCTGTAGAAGGCCCCATGCCGCACTAGACGATTTAGAGAAATCACATATTTATTTATTGCCAGAATGATTTTCAATTAAATTTCAGTGAAGCTATTTAGTGGCTTAAGGGCAGACTACTAAGCTCCATGCTCTGCCCCAGCACTCGGTGCTTCTTTGTCTTACACGACACACACACTGTGTAAGCCTTGGGGTTTTTCTCATTGTGAAACTGGAATCATTTTTAGATTGTTTATTTTTAATTGTGTGTATCTGTGTGCTTGGGCACATGTGTGCCCACGACTAGAGGGTCTTGGACTGCATCTGGAGTTACAGGTGGTCACAGCTGCCCAGTGTGGGTGCAGGAAGCCAAACTCAGGTCTTCTGCTAGCACAGGACTCGCTCTGACTCACTGAGTCACCTCTCAAGCCTCCAAGCTGGGCTCTTAAAACCACTTGCATACAGATTTTTTTCTTCTCTTTTTATTTTACTTATTTAGGTTTGGGCTTCTTGATTAAGGTCTCCCCATGGAGCCTATGTTGCCCCGGATCTGAAAATCCTCCTGCCTCAGCGTCCCAAGAGCTGGGATGACAGGCACGTGCCACCACTCTCGACAGTATATAGACTTCTTGATGGACTTAATGGAATGTTTACATCTCACTGCAGTGCTGGCATGTGACCTTAATGATCATACAAAGAATGACATGTGACTCTCTTAGCTGGGGAAAATGCTGGGATAAAATAACTTCCTAATTGGGTCAAATTAGCCTACGTGTTTTGAAATTGTTGGGCATGAGTGCAAATGATCCCAGCACTTGTGAAGTTGAGGAACAGAGGGGGACTGTGAACTGGTTGGTTCAAAGTCAGCCTGGGTTGAGGGGATGGCGCAGCAAGATATCTGAAATCAATGCTAAATTATCGAGTTCAAGACCTTTTTATCCAATGAGTCGCCCTGGGTGAGTCAATCCATTTTCCAGAACTTTGCTGGCTTTGTGTAGAGTGGGAATTTTCACTTGCTGGCCAGCTACTAGACCCTCGCACTGTCTCCCCATTCCTGCAGAGCCCTGCCTAGCTCACTCCTTGGCTTCACTCAGGCCCATGCGCAGATGCTGCCTGCTCCAGGCAGCTCCTGACCCCTGGCAGACCCTGCTCTGATCCTTTCATTACACCCGTCACAACCTCACACTGGCCGTACACGGATGGCGATGTGTCTCCTTGACCTCCTCCCTGCTAAGAGTTCAAGCTCAAGGAAGCAGGGACACAGCTGGGTGTGCTCCCTGCAGGGGTCCCAGCTTCTAGATGGGACCTAGGACATAGTAGACCCTCAATGAGCTACACTGAAAGAGGCAAAGGTGGGAAGTCTTTTCAGAGTGTACGTCATGTCACCCAGGACCACGAGTGTTCAGGTGCATAGACAGCTTCTGGGCCACCAGAAAGGCCTCAGCAGGAGTCCTACAGGTTTACCCCCCACCCATGTATTAGTTGCTTTTCTCAGGGTTGTGATAAAAACACCTGACAGAAGCCATTAAAGGAAGGAAGGGCTTCTTTAGGCTCACAGTTTGAGAGCCGTGAATACAGGCACAGCTTACCGTAGGAGGGAAGGCATGGCGGCAGGAGCTTGAGGTGGCCGGTTCCATTGCATTCACATCTGAGAGAGGTGAATGGTGGTGATTGGTTCACTTTCTTCTTTGCAATTCAGTCTGAAGCACAGATCCATCTACATTCAGGATGCTGTAGTCATCAATCTAGAAACTCCCGCACAGACACACCCAGAGGTCTGCCTTCTGGGAGATTCAATATCCTGTCGAGTTGTAAATATCAGGGATGTTTAGCTTTCATGACAGCCGTGTCCTTCAGACCCATCCTTCACTCTCAGAATCTGTGATGAACTTTTAGACAAAACTGACAGCCCCCCAGGCTCCTTTGTCTTATTGCCCTCCTTGGGCATCTTGCAACTGGCATTGCTGAGAAACTTCTCTCCCGCGGTGTAAAAATATCCAGGAGTACCTCAGACTCTGCCCAGCATTAAACCTACCTCCCTCTCACCCGGCTCTTTACTACAGCTGTGTTTCCTGGGGTGTTTAGTTTTGTTTTATATTTATTGATAACAGTGTAGAGGCTCAAAGAGACTAAAACTCAAGCCTCAAAGCTGGCTGATGGCAGGGCCAGGATTTGAGCTCATCTAAAGTGTGTCACAAGGGTAGAGAAAGGGCTGGCTGTGCTTCCCACGAGGCACTTGGTGCTTAGAATGAACCCAGTCATTCAGTTAGAGGTGCTCAGCAAAGACTCATGCGAAGAACAAACGAACCATGCATGAATGAAAGTGTACATTCATGAATGGATGCACACATGTGTGCCTGAACCCTCTGCTCTCTCTGCTGCGTTCCCAGCCTCACTTCTTTTACCTCCCCTTTGCTCCACTGATGACTGTGTGTCAGGAAGATCTGAGGGCATAGGAGCCAAGACTGGACGCTTTGTGTCTGTCTGTCTGTCTGTTTGAGGTGGCCAAGTAGAGAGTGTAGACAAGCAAGCTGGGTCCCATCTATATCTTTCAGCAACTTCACACATAAGACCCTACAGCTCTTTTTCAAAAGACACTCGGTATTCAGGAGACACAAGAGCTCTCTCCTCCCCTGGACATGTGGACATGGAAAGAGGAAGTGACTGGTCACTGCTTACCTAACCAAGAGAAAGGCAGCTAGGCTGTGAGAAACACAGCTGCCCACACAATTGCCTCAAACCCACACCAAAGCCAGTGAGGTGGCAAGAAGCTGGAAGGCAGAGGCCTGTGGCTTAGAAAGGCCTTTCCAGTTTGAGGCTCCCTTCTCTCATCTGTAAAGAAAATACTTTAGGCTTCATCAAGGGACCTGGATCTGCAGAAATAAGAAGGGGTAAATCGAGGCAGTCAAATAATTGTTGATAGTCTTATGTGGGTTGGGGGGCAAGGATGTCACATGGTTTCAATGCCTAGGACCTCACAATGAGAAACTGTCCCCTTAGAATTTAGAGCAAATCTTTGAAAATCCCTTTCTTTGGTAAAGCATTGGCCATGCTCAATCCTTACATGATGAAAAAGAAAAGAATAACAAAAATCTGCTAGATCCCCCTAAAGAACATGAGAAAGTTTTGGGAGGCAAGGGTATTATAGATGTTAATTTTTTTCCAGAATTTCTTTCTTCTGTATGTGTTGATAGTTGCCTGTGATAGTCCCTGCCTGGCCCCACACTGGGAACTTCTAAGCAGCTGTTCTGAGGCTACAGAGCTGAGAGAAAGCCCCTCCCCCACACAGCCCCACCTCCGTGGCTCTAGGGCCTTCATGATGAAGTAAAAGAAGCTGAGAGAGGACTCGGGATGGCTGAGGACCTCAGAAAGGAGACCTTTATTTAGGCTCTGGGGTTTTCCCAGTTGGTGGTGGCAAAGGTTTGAAGCATGAGAAGAGGTCTGGAGAGGGGAGCAGAGGTCTGGAGAGGGGAGCAAAGGTCTGCACAGGGAAGCAGAGGTCTGGACAGGGGAGCAGAGGTCTAGAGGGGAGCAGAGGTCTGGACAGGGGAGCAGGGGTCTGGAGAGCCGACAAGAGGGGCCTCCATTAATGAGTGGGTTGGGGAGGTAGCTAGGTGGGTAGGGTGCTTGCTTGTGTAAGGAGAACCTGAACCCACATTTGAAAACTGAGTGCAGAGGTCTGTAATCCTAGCACTGGGGAGGTGGAGCCAGGAGGATCCCTGCCAGCTAGCCTAGCCTCCACCAAAAGCTCCAGGTCACTGAGAGATCAAAAACCAAGGGGGCAACGTGAAGAATGTGAACCAAGGCTGTCTCCTGGCCTCCAAACACTTGTGCATGCACATAGGCAGAGACAGACAGACAGACAGACACACACACACACACACACACACACCAAGGCAGTCAGATCTTCCTCAGGGGTGCTTAAAAAGACTGGGTGAACCAACACAAGGTCCCCCAGCCAAGAGCCAAGGGAATTTGTGCAGGTGAAGTTGTTTCTTTCCCACTATCCAAAGCTTTTCCCCATACCCCCGGGGCCATCCTGTGGTTTCCGCTCTTTTATTGAAAAGTACTGTGTACACAGTGGCATAACCCCACTACTAAATGAAAGCTTGTCTCTGCATACACTTGTGTGCCCATCACTCCACTTAGGTCCATACTGCAGAAGGCTCTCTTGTATTCCCACCCAGGCAATGCCCCCCCAGGTGATGCCCCTACCAAAGAGAACCTTGTTGAATGTTGGCAATACCCCTGCCAAAGAGGACCTCATTGTCAACCTAGGTTAGTTTTTAATTCTGCACTCACAAGCTCGTACAATGTGTTCTTGTGTCTTGTCTGACCCTCTTCTCTCAGCCGATATCTCTGATACCCATTGCATGGTGGGTAGCTGGTCAGTTCTCCCCGGTGGCTGGGTGGTATCCTATGGTATGGTGCTAGTGTTGGTGGACATTGGTACTGCCCAGAGATGGTATCTTGAGAAAGCACAGGGTACGGAGAGTCCCATAAGATCTAAGGAGTAGACTCCATGGGAATGGGGCAGCTATAGACCACAGGAAAGAGATCATTTATAAACCAGAAGAAGTCCAGTAACCTCACATCAGCTTTACGTTTTCTCCACCATTAGCAGAAATAAGGATTCCAGAGCTAAACGAGGCCAGTTAATGGAAGAGTTCTTCGTAAGTGATATTGTTTGCACATCTAAATTTTGTTCCTGCTACACAGGCAATGAGCCAGTGTAACTTCCTAAGAAGAAAAATGGTGCGCTGTAGGCTTCCTGAGACAAGAGTGCCATTGTCACCTTACTATCAAAATACCAGCGACCTAGAAGCCGCACCTCGGAGAGATGCTAGAGAGACGTGGAATAAGTTCCAGGGGCAGATGAGCAGATGTGGAAAATCTGAGTGAATCGCTGTAATTAGGGAGCATTGCTGGAGATGGGGGGTGTTCTGGAAGAGAATCTGAGTGGGCAGAGCAACTATTGTCAAAGAAAACACCCGCCTCATTCAGAAAGCTGCACAATTAGTCACCAGCGGGGCTGGAGGCTGTTCAAACTACTCTGACTAATTTCAGCTTGTTTGTCTGAAGAGCCCCAGGAGGCACCCGGGGCATTTCTAGAACAATCTCTTTGGCTTGGAGGTCAAAGAGTGCAAGGTAAAAAAAAAGTTAACAGAGTTAGGGCTGCTATTGCTTAAGAAAATTAAAAAATGAGAGAACCGAGGCGGAGGAAGACGGTTCAGTTGGTCAAAGTGCTTTCACGAGGATCTGAGTTCAGATCCCCAGAACCCATGTTAAAAACGACATTAAGAGAGGTGGTGACGGGGATCCCAGGAACTTACAGCTAACGATCCTAGCCAAAGTAGCTTCACGTTCAGGGTGCGACTTTGTCTCAAAAAGTAAGGGGAAGCTGTGTGTGGTGATTCAGCACTAGGGAGGTGGAGGCAGGTCTGAGTTCAAGACCAGCATGGTCTACACAGGGAGTTTCAGACCAGCCAGGGCTACATAGAAAGATGTTGCCTTAAGAAAATAAAGATAAATAAATAAATAATAAAAGTGAAAATGAGTCAGGAAGATAGTAGACATCGCCCCGGCCTTCACATGCTCATCCCATGTACATAGACCACACACAGGCTGGCATGGTGGCTCCGTGGGTAAAGTACTTGCCACCAACACTGGTGACTTGAACTGGATCCCTGGACCCCACATGCTGCAAGGAGAAAAGTGACTCAGACAACCCAACACAGGAGGCTGTGAGAACACTCCCTGCCGCTAAATAATAATATAATTACAATAAAACCTATACAAAACTCTATATGAATTCAAAAAGAAGGAGGAGAAAGAGAAGAAGGAAGAAAGAGAGACTAGGAAGTAGGGTCTTCCACTCTTACAGTGAGTGTTTGGTCCAAGAAGAAAACGATCATGCACTCCCCTTAAAACACTCAACACGGCCAGGTGAGGTGGTGCACACCTTTCATCCAGCACTCAGCAGGCAGAGGCAGGTGGATGGCTATTTGTGAGATCAAGGCCAGTCTGGTCTACAGGACAGCCAAGGCTGTGCAAAGAAACCCTGCCTTGAAACACACACACACACACCCCAAACAATAACAACAACAAAGAAAACAACACAGCTTTGTGGACATGGTTGGGATAGGATGGAACATGGTGAGAACTGGGGGCTCTCTTCTCCATGGTGTGTCTGAGGGTGGCTACCACCTGAAACGCTCTTTCCTTCTAGTCCTACAGGAGGATTACGGTTTCCTGCCCACTTGTCAAGAGTTCAGGAGTGTCCACATTTATAGCAAAAGCGCAAGACCCAATAAGATTCCCTCCAGAGTCTCCTGCTCCTGTTGTGGTGGTGGGGGGGAGGGGGCTGCAGAGAAGAGATTCTTAGCAAACCCCAAGGAGGGAAAACTGCTGTGGACATTGAACCACTGGCACTAGGACCATCTGTAACCACGTCCCAGTTGGGTTAACTGATGGAGTATACTCTGAAAATGGCCTTGATGTGGTCTAAGATGTAGGTCCTCATCCAAGCATTTTACCAGCTGAATCATTATGAAGGTCCAGAATGGCCCCATCCCATGCTTGCCAAAGCCCAGCCTGGTACCTCTTTCTCAAGCATCTGACTGCTAAGAAACATTTGGCCCTCCATGACAAAAGGTTACAGCTAAGAGACACCCGTTGGGAGGGAGAGAAAAGGAAGGAAAGAAGGAAGGGAAATCTTCAAGTAGCCTTGATCTTGACCTCGCCTTCCCTTCTAGCTGTGCTTGTTTTCCTCTGTTAGCATCTCCCAGCCCCCATATCTAG